CACGGACCCGGGCCTAAGGGACCTGAAACAAGAGACTGCCTGCATATACATGGACACCCGCGGAAGAATGCCCGCGCAACGTTCCATTGTTGTTCAAGCATTCCTCACCCTCTGATAAACAAACATCATCACTACGGGCACGCGCACCACACACAATCGATACCAGCGGAGTCAAATCTCTCACCATTACAGGCTACTAAATCATACACAGTAGAGACAAGTGGAAGGCGGGGGAAAGACGGGACGACCAAGCAGAGGGACATGTCTAAACAAGCAAAAATCGATTTTCCTTCTCGATAAGCCAGAGTAAATAAACGCCCCTACCCCTGTCGGATTAAGCTTGTAAAGTCTGGACCGGGACGGCGATTGCCATTCAATAGCGTGATCGTCGCGTCTTCTCGAACCCATTACATGACTCCATGTTCTCCCTATGTCAATAGAGAAGTAGCCTCGTGTTGTTGTCCGTCCAGTGGGAATTGTAACAAAAAATGCCAGATAAACCCATTATCGTGAGAATGCAAGAAAAGGATGCGTGCGCGTGATGCCAGACGAGAATGCCGAGAGAAGAAACCCCGAAAAGGGTATATAGGATGTCTTCATGCCGCGTCGAGAACAGACCATGGCCTTCAAAGACCGTCAACTCCTTACAGGAGGGCGGCAAGGGCGACACCGCCGAGAACGGCGAAGACGCTGGCCTTGGCCTGGCCGGCACCGTTCTGGGGAACCGTGACGGGGGCAGACTCGGTGGGCTGCACAATGACGGGGGCGGTGGTCGAGGCCACGACGAGGGTGGTGTGGGTGGTGGCACGGGAACCGCCGGCGCTGGTGGTGTCTTAGGGAACAACGACCGAGGTGGTGGCTTGACGGCGACGGTGGTGGTGGTCTCGGAGCACGAGGTGGTGGTCTCGACGGCGGCCACAGAGGTCGTGGGAACGGCGGACAGGGTGACGATGGCGGTGCAACAGAGGTGGTGACAACGACGGTGCTGCTGCCAGCGCCGTAGGTAGGGGCCTTGGAGCCCGAGCCCGAGCCGGCGGTGATGACGAAGGGGTTGGAGAACTGCCAGTCGGCGGCGTTGGCCTCCGAAGTCAGGACGAGGCCGTAGAACTTCTTGCCGCCAATGTCGGCGGGGACCTTCCACTCGTACGAGAGAGCCGAGTTGGGAATGCCGGCTGGGAATTGTGTCAGCGAACATGAAGGTTCGAGGAACGCGCGCGCGAGAGGGACGCGGGTGGAGAGACTTACAGGCAATGTCGAGGAGAGGGACCTGGGTCTGCTGGGTCTCGCCACCGATGAGAGCGATCTTGATGGTGACACCAGCGAACTTGGCAGGGGCGGTCCACTCAATCTTGTAAGTCGAACCAGCGGGGATCTGCTCGTTCGGGCTGGGCTTGTTGACGGGGTTGAAGTCGGGGTTCTGGGCGACAGCAGACGCTGCACAAAGGCCACAAGGGCGGCAACGGCGGCGGTAGCGGAACCCCTCTTGACTGATTTCTTGGACGGTGGTGGGGTTTGGTGGGGAGTGTAATGTGATTAGGCTTCCGTGGGTGGTAATAAGGAGGGGTGAC